GGTTGCCGGGGAGACGGCGGCGCGGTTGCCGCGGCAACGGCGGGGCTGAGGGCCCGCGCTCAGCGCCGTCCGCCCGCTCATCCCGCCCAGAGCGGCCGCCCCGCCAGCCCGGCCCCTCCCGGGGAGCTGCCACACCGCCGCCGCCCGCACACCGGCCGGTAGGAGCCGCAGGGCTCGCCGGGGCGGGAGCGGGGCGGCGAGACCCGCTCGCGGCGCGGGCTCCCGGCGGGCTGAGGGGTCAGGCGGGCCGGGGCTGCGGGCGAGGCCGCCCCGAGAGTTTCTGATCTCTCCGCAGGGTCCAAAGCAGCCCCGGCGGGAGGGGTGGGGTGCCCGCGGCCCCGGCAGCGAGCGCTGCGTGCCCGGCCGGCTCCGTTAACGGGAGAGGGCGGAAGCCGCTGGGGCGATGCTTTTACAGCCCTAAGAGGAGCCACGGCTCCCCCGGGCCCGCCGCAGCCGCGCCGTTGATGCATTGCCGCGTTATCTTTACAGCACGCCCGCCAGGGTTTATGGCATCAGATTGTCAGCGCTCCCCCCTGGGTTCTCTGCCATTTTTTGCAGCATCATTACCAACTCAGTGACTGACTGCTTGGGGCTCTGGGCCTGCAGCCTTCCACACAATAAATCTCCTCTTTTTCCTGAGTTTTACTTTTTCTTTTTTTCTTTTTTTTTTTTTTTTTTTTTTTTTATAAAGCGGTTGAAACGAGTCTCTTTTTTTAAAATTTTCGAAGTTTACTCAAGGATGAAAGGGACAAATTAATAACGGCGTTGGTTGCTTGGCAACTGCCAGAGCCATGTCTGTTAACTTCAAACAATTTTCTTATATTATTTTTCATTACATTGGTCAAATGAATTGTCATGAGGATTACACGTATTCAAACATTCCTTTGAGTTTACATGTTCTGGGAATTCTTTTCGCTTGGTTCTACACTTGACCCATCTTAAGGTACATGCCATACTGCACTTTCAATTCAAGTATTTTATTTCCACACAAGCCCACCCTTTCTATTATTGACCATTATTGATAGCCAAATGAACAGTGGTAATATTGTCCTTGCATTCTTTCTTTCGATGTTCATTTACCTGGTTCTTTTCTAGGTTTTCTTGTCATACAGAAAAGATATCTGTAAGATAGTACAAGTACATTAAATCAACATTAGCTATTTCAGAAAATTATCTTAGTTATTCATAGCACTGTGGTACACAATGTTAGAAATTAAAAGCATTAACTTCTGCAACAGTTAATGCTATAATGCACAGTAATACTCTGCATTTTAATATTTTGTGAGAGCCTAACCTATAATATATTTATCACATTAAAATATATAATCTACACAGGGATTAGGGTATTAACCATAAAAGGCTGACAAATTATACACTATCAAAAGCATTTAAAAATGATTACAAAATATACTACGTTAAAATAATTGGCAAAAGCCAATATAAGCGAAAGGCAGTGACTACATTATTATTCATAACCTAAGTTTTCCACTAACCTACAAAACTCCAGCTTAGGTGAGATGTAAAATTGTGTACTTTCCAAAAAGCAGCTTCCTTTCTCTCCTTTTCACCCCTAGATCCAGAAATAAGAAAACATGGATGAGGTTGTGGAGACCCTAAGAAAGATCGAGCAGAACTACAAGCTCTTCCAGCAGCAGCAGTTCTCATTTATCAGAGCACTGGAACACACCCGGGAGGAAGCCCACGACTTATTCAGACCTGTGTCATCCATCGTCCAGGTACAAATTATTCAGCACAAAGTGCTCCCTGCCTGTGAGAACAGGGCCAGCACGGGGCTGCCGTGCACCTGGGGCCAGTTCAGGGATGAAGAAAGGGTTTTACTGAAGGGAAGATGGACAAAACCTCTCCAGTAAGGTTTGTGTATAACTGAAGATGTGGGGAGAGAAGCACCTGTGGGAGGGCCTGCTGTTATCTCAGAAGGACTCTCATGGCTGAGCAGCACTTTCTGGTTTAGTTTAACACTGCTGAGGCACAGCCAGAAACACAGGGTACGAGGAAACAATCAAACCAAACCTCATTCCCCAGCCACACATGGAATCTGGAATCCTTAACTTGGAGGAACCAGCGTGCCTGGCTCTTCCCCCTGGTATTGGTGCTGCTGTATCTTTTTATAGTGCTTATTAAAAATAATGGCTGTGTCACAGAGGGAGGATGATGGATTGAGGGCTGCAAGTCCCAAGTGGGCAAGGGGCTTTCTGGGCTGCTAAGTGAATTGTCTTGGAAATTTTATAGCATGGTGTACCTAAAAGTAAAACTTAGACCACCTGGAGACAGAGGGGGAGGAAGAAAAATTGAAATCAAACCAGAACTGTGGATTTGAGAGAGCAGAAGTTGGGCACAAACCCCAGATGGATGCCAAGGGCAGAGTGAAAGCCAGGCTGCTGTCAGCTTTAGGACACGGAATGAGCTGGTTGTCTTTTCCAAGTGTGCCTCTCCCTAACAGAAGGGCTTTGCTCATCGCATTGAAGAGGATTGTGACAGACACTGCACTGAGCCATTTTTTCCCACTGAGATGTTGTGT